CTGCTCTTAGCAGGGGCATGACTAGCACTCTAACCGGCCATCCCTCCAATGTCCGGCTGAAAATTAGGCTCCGACCGGCACGACACGATCTGGCTGTGAGCTACCGGCGTGCAGAGCGGTGGCGGAAACGTGCTGCGAGATTTCAGGCTCACAGGTACCAGTGTAGCAATTTATATACTGTAAGTGTAGCATTTTTAAAGATCCAATGGTAGACTCCTCTCGTGAGATTGTTGTTGAGATGCACCAAGACGTTGACAAGGACTTACACAGTTTGGCGCAGAAGGCCTGGGGAGACCCATGCCAGTGCATGAAAATGCTGGTGAGAGCAAAATAAAGTTGTTTTCCCTTCAGATGGGGTTGACTGATTGAGGTCTAACGGTCTTAAAAATAATGTGGTGTTGTTCTGTGGTTGCGGAGTTTTGCGGACCTTGAACCAGAACCAGAACCGCACCGAGCCCGAATTTTTCCCCGTTCAACTGGTCAGCTGTGTGACTCACCGCCGGATGCATGCACGAATCACAAGGGATTGTCCTGAGGCCTTAGATGGGTTACTCCTTGCATGGGTCACCTACCACCATGTGCCTCCGAAAGAAAGGACGAAACATCAAAACATATCAAATGACTCAGCTTGATCACGTCATGAAGACCTGTGTTGATTTGACGGATTTCTTGCCATCAGACCTGTGAGATCGTTTGACCTGTTTCAGCCACCCCCAATGGCCGATGGACAACCCTTGCAAGCAAGCTGTCAAAGCGTCCAAAGGTTCCAGTGGTGTAGCTGCCGACAGGTTATTTCAGTGAAATCTTGATTCGCCCAGGATAGAGATTGTACCCCAAGGATCCTCCAGGCACGAGAGAAAACAGAGAAAACATGGTAAAACCGGACTGTTTTTGGACCTCCTTTAATTATGAAGAGGCTATGTATAGACACCTCTTGGAAGGCCCTGGTAGAGGGCTTTTTGTTGGGTAGTATATTGCCCTGTATATAGATGAAATACACGTCACTAGTCGTGGACACTGGACACTGCAAAAACAACCAAGCCGACAAGCCAGAGATTACAATCGACGATAAAGTTCCACTCATTGAGATGTTCATATTATGTTCTTTTCATGTCCCACTGTCTTTAACTGTTCGACTGGTATTAGGCAGACCATTCCCTCGGGGCAGGGCATGCGGGCATCGATGGCATATATATCAGATCTGAGGGCATTGAGTAGATCTAAGTGCACCTGGCGCAGGACCAAATGATGAAGATTCCAATTTTTCCAATTGGCCCAACTATTCTTGAAGTGCATCAGGTCTTACTTGCACTTCCTCTGTTTTCAGTCAAGTGTCCGGACCGATTCCATCCGCTGTCCTAGACTAGATCTGCCACCTTTTGAACGCAGATGATTCAACTAAGACAGACACATCCAGCACATCCAGGCACAAAAGCATATAGACAAACCATGAAAGACCTATGAACAACAGATCGTTGGATCGGAGAAGTTCACTGGAACCCAGGTCTGCTTTGTGTGTCATTAGGCCCGAAGAAACTTCTGAGGCGAGTTCTGTCAATGCACCGCGTTTCAAGACTCATCCGGGTCGGCCAACTGATTTCGGGCGCAAAGAACGACCAGAACGGCCAGGATTTGGGGCGGAGATTAGAGTTAGAGTTGTGTAAGCACTGCATGGCTCCATCCACAGAGATCAGGTAGCAGCCCACAAGCATTTCATGTATGGAATGCATGGACCCTGTATTCGTACTCCTAAAGCTGGGTACAAGTAGCTGCTTTTAATGGGGTCCCATTTTCCTGGATGGATGTAAATATGCCAGTCTGAGGGAGTATGGTTCTTTTGTTCTTTTTTGTCAGTGACGCAACTACCTCTGTTCAATTCCGACATCCTCAGCTGGAGTAGAGTGTTTTGCCAGTGGAGTGACTCTATCATAGCATAGGCTACTTTGTCGCAATTATTTAGGGGGAGTCGAGTGAACCCCACTTATCCAACCCCCCTATTTCCTCGTAAGTAGCGTCCACCCCCCGATGGCAGCCACACTGCATGGCATGGCAGCCGCGGGTGCGCGCGCGCCGCCGGGCCGTGCTCCTTCTCTTCTTCTGGGGGCGGCGTGCGGGCGCGGTACCCTGCGGACGGACAGGTCCGGCATGCAGTACGCAGGGGGGAGGCGATACATCAGACCGGGTCCGGGATGCGCAGGGGGGAGTCGAACCTGCAGCCTGGACACTCCTGACGGCCCCAGCGCTCTAGAAAAATGAGCTGTCAACGAAGCGCGGGCTTTCGTCCAAGTGACGGCGGACCGACATCGCCCACCGCTACACCGGAGTCCCTCAGGAACACGCCGGCCCTCCTCCGCTCACGCTCACGTTCATCGGCCTAGACCGGGGTCGGCTGGATTATACAGTATATATCCATCTTTACAAATAAGTCACATGCACTCTGGTTTCGCCCTCCTGTCCAAGAACAAGTTTCCGGTGAGGCACTCCTCGTTTGTTTTGATCGTTGACCCGCAAAAAGGGCTCTGGGTATAGACCTCAAAATTGCTTGTAGATTGGGGGTGCAGAGAACGTGGAAGATCTTGGGAAAGTCTTCTGCCCCAAAAGCGGCCTTTTCCCGAACAAGCGGTCCCCGGACGCCCTTGGGAGCAACGCGCCCTCGGTCTCGACCTCCGCTAGCGCGCGGCGCCGTCGCATGACGGCGGTCGGCGGGGCGGAGGGCCCCGGGAGGTTCCAACGCCGTGGGGCGAAGCAAAAGTGTGAGGAATCGGACGGTGCATCGAGATGGTGGAGCAAGGCTCCCCAAACAAATTTCAAACAGCTTCACTCATGGATACGGCTTAATTGTTCATGAACAGCTTACATTGAGCGGAGGTCTTGGTGGAACTGGTGGAGTTTCTGTGTTTAGGGTGGATGGGAGAAGGGTGGCCGGCCCAAATTGAGTCTGGATGATTTTCATGTTTTTGAGTCCGAGATTGCTAGCAGGTTGAAGCAGCCTAAAACATTACATGTTGCAGAACTGTTCCTTTTGGGTGTTCAACCCACTAAACTGCAGGGACTATCCTCTGCCCAACTAACTTTGGCGTTGGCCTCATATTAAACAAAATACCAAAAGACGATGTCGATGTCAGTTGGACAGAATTCGTCTCAAAGTGTTTGTGTCTATCTCCCCAGCCTTCTCCTAGCCTTCGCCCTGTTGTTGCCTGCGGCGCAGATTGATGAGCAAGGCCAGTACAGCGGAGAGTTCTACACCTTCGCCCTGGCAGGCGGCAGCTGTCCAGCGCAGCTCGTGTCGAAGCCGGTGGAACCGCTGTGAAAAGCAGCAGCACTCGACCATTGAACAATTGTGGGAAAGGAGCTGGTTTGGTCGTGCAAAATCAATAAAATCAGGACTGTTGGGTAAAACCATGTATGCAAGCCCATTCATTATGGATCAATGGTGGTTGGAAGCTTAGGGCTTTTGGGACCCCAACAAAGGCATCGTGCCGCATTAACCGGACGCGAGATCATTTGGAGTGGTTTACCGGGTGGTTTGAGCCACAGGTTCCCAGTGTGGAGGAGTGACTGCTGGTTTTCAGGACCCATCCAGTGTGTCGGTTTTTGCGCCCGCGACCCGTTCGGTTGGGGAAATAGACACAAAGCAGCCGATCTAACCATTGGGGCGATCGGGGGTCGCCCTATTCAAAAAAACACACGGAACCTTTCGAAGGTGCTCCCCGCTGGGACTCGAAACGTGCTTTTCTCCTTCAGCACCGCTCACGAAGCGAAGCGATGAGAGGCTTCATCCGCCAGCGGGGGGGAGAGTGATGCCTGCCTGAACCGATTGCTCCATGAGAAGGGCCTGCTGACCTTCTCCAAGTGAGGCGGGAGAAGGGCGGAGCAACAACCCGTGCTTCTGACATTGTGTGGGACTGCTGGGTGGCTGAAGGGGGGCTTGCCTTGCTATACTATACATTCAAGAAAACGGTGAGTCACAACAGATCAAAACCGTTATCGCCTAAGAAACTTACCAGCTGCTTGTCCCACCCGCCCGTCACTTCTCTAGTTAGTAGTTTCAGTGGTCCACATTGAAAAATAGAGGTCTCGATTGGAACACTTCGACTTGAACCCATGAGATTGCTGCTGGACACCGCAATCCCAAACGGTGCAGGAAGCCTTTACAGTTGCTGGAGCCGAACGGAGACGCAAAAAAAGCAGAGCGACAGGGATCGCATGAGCGACAGGGATCGCATGCTTTTTCATTTCCACCATTCCCACAAACATCCAGCGACCTTTTCTAGGGTGCCAGCGACCAATATGCAGGGTTGCAGTTTTGGAACGACATCTTCATCAAATCGGGGGAACACGATACCTTCTTGACACATGTGGACTGCCTTTTCAGCTTCCTGCTAACCTCAGAGCCACACCGGCCGGCTAAACCTATGGTGCTACTCGTACGCTGGCCTGGACATAGTTTTGCGCAACTGCTGCGTACATTCTAAGAGAAAGTATATACAGTTTATGTTTAGACGTTTATATAAACTCTGAAGGAACTTGAAGAACCCGCAAAGCGACACCTGACGTGGATCAGGATGTTGCAAAAACTGCACGAGATGGGCACAGTTGTTGGAGCAATCCTCGAAAAAAAGATTCACATCGGATGGAGGTCTCATGTCAGGAGGTAGGGCCAGCTAGGGCCAGCTAGGGCCTATAGAGTTGTTGTCTTCAGAACCATTACGTACATCTGCTATAAGCAATGTGTCATAAGAACCAAATAGAACCAAACATGAAGGAAGGAGTGCCCAAAGTTGATGATACACCCAAGAACCGCGATGGCAGCTCGTTTCCAAAATATAGGCTGACAACGGTTTGCTTGGAGATCCATGGGTTCAGGCATGTTTGGGCCAAAAGTCAATCAGCCAAATGTGGGTTCTCAAACTCTCACGCACCTGGACCCGAAGGGAGACGAGCCTCTCCATCCAACGCGTTTCCATGTGTGTGTGTTCCCATGTGTCTGTTCGTTTGAGGCCCGGCCTTGTCCTTCAAGGAGCAGGGCGAGTTGCTGTTCAGCCTCGTGCAGTCTGGAAGCCCGATCGCTCGGGAGGCGAGGGAGAGAAGACGGGTCCAGGCAGTCCGGAGTCCGGAGTCCGGACCGGATCCCCAGGTCAGGTTGGGGCCTTCAAAAGAGCTGGGCTCACGCCCGTGAGGGCCTACAGAAGCACTTGAGAATTCGAAGCACTGAAGAGTGGAGAAAGTCACCGCGATTCTGGAGGTGAACAGAGCTCTCAGGCTGCCTTGGACTGGTCTGAAAACTGCACAGAGCGAGCACCCGAAAGCATTGAGAGGGCCAGTTGATTTTGGCCTTGAGGCCCACAACCTGCTGTGCCTTCCTGTCTTGCTTGGTCTGTGGACCAGCGACCAGCGACCAGAAGATGCTGTCACTGCTCAAACGATCTATAGTAGGCATAATAGCACTTCCATCCCCGCGTATGGCAAGACTTAGCACTAAGAAAAGACGATGCAAAAACGAGGACATCAGCTTGTCCTCCATCATACCATGAAAAACCACCCCCCCCAAATGATCCCCAGTGTACTTCTGGTGACTCTGCCGCGCTTTCGCGCAAGCGAAGGACTGGCGCGTCACCAGACTCGATAGGCCGCTAGCTGGTGGAAGGTTGGCTGGCTGACATGAAAGAGTCCGGATGACTACTTGGCTGATCTTGGCTGAAGGTTGGGAGCAGTTTTGTTTCAGCACAAGTGCTGAAAAGGAGTTGAACTTTCTACAGTCGTACCCACTCTGGAGCTGACTTTGGGTGAGAAGAAATCACTGCAGATCTGATGATTGGTGCAGGATGTCAACCAAACCCTTGCTGAATCCATCGAATCTTGAGGTGTTGATCCATCAAGACGACCTGGGATAATAGACCGGTGGACAAACGAATGAACATGCTTCTTGATGCTTCTTGTATCCAAAAGGACTGCTACTTGACGTCTTCGGCTTGAGTGAGATCAATACTTCTATAGCTTTTCACATCCTTTTGGAGTGATGTGTATGTTCAATTACTTTTTGCAGAATGCTGTACTGTATATTTCAAGGCTTACGCCTAACAGCCGGGCGCCGGCCCACTTGGGTGTGTGGGGCGTATGTCACGCCTATGTTGGCCTTGGTGGGGCCTATATTGAGCAAAGTTAAGCTATCTGGTGCGCATCTTGGCCCTAGGTTGGGCCAAGTGGGGCCCATGTGGTGTATGTTGGGCACATCGTGGGCCCATGTTGAGCCTATGTTGGGCCTATGTTGGCCTATGTTAGGCCTATGTTGGCCTATGTTGGCCTGGGTTGGGCCTATGTTGGGCCTATGTTGGCGTCTGTTGGCCCCAAGTTGGCCTATGTTGGCCCTATGTTGAGCCATCTTGGAG